AAATAATAACAAAGATTATAGGCTAATGATAATGGTAAAAGCTGACATCAACTACATATAACTACATTTCATAATCTTTGCTTGACTAACTCATTTAATCCTCACAGCCAGCTATGAAGAAAACACTATTATTAACTTCTGTAATTGAGTTACAGAAACATTTGGTAGTTAACTGATACTCCAAGTGAGTATCAGAGATAGGATTAGAGCCCAGGAAATCTGTATATTGAGCCCTTATATTTAATAATGACACATGGCATAGAAGAATATGTGTTAAGTAAAAGGAGCCCTTAACAATATGTTGTCAAGCATGGCATTTTTCTTAACTATATGGGGTAAAACTGTTCATTTTTGGCATTAACTCTTAGAGGAGACAAAGGTTATTGCAGGACTGTGTTTGCAACATCAAAGTAAATTAATAGCAACAGTATTTTTCTTTAGTCTACTGGGTGACTGGAATGTCCTAAATTAGAAAGTTAGAATATTAGGGAAAAAAGTAACATTTACTTTGCATCTATTATATTCCATGCATTTTCTTAGGTATTTTACATTTACTGGCTTACTCTATCCTCACAACAATCCAGCAAAGTAGATTCTATGAGCTCTGGTTTTACATAGCAAGTACTGAGGTTCTGAGACAGAATAATTTTCCTAGGTTACACACCAATAAATATGTCTCAATAGTACTCAAAAAGAGGGTAATTCATAACTCATTAAGGCACAGTCCTGACAGTTCCATCTCAAATATTTAATTCTTATTACACTTGTATGTTATTATACTCATACCATGTTTTCCTGAAAAGGTAAACACAAAGCAAACTCACATTCTTGTCTTTCTACCCACTCATATTATCATTTTTTTTTGTTTAAAGATTTTTATTGGAGAATTGGGGGAAGGGGAACAGACAAGTTGTTGTCCTTTTGTTCTTCAGTCTAGTTATGGAGGATGTTGCTTCACTGGCCCAAGTTGGCACCATCATTGCGCTCTTCCCGTGCGAGGCAGATCAGTCGCCGGCTTCTGGACGGCCGCTCACGCTGGCTGCTGGCTACACACGGTAGCCCATGGCAACCCACTGCAGCAGGGGCTGTAGCCTACGCCTTCGCCGGCGACTCACGGCAGCCCAGCTCCAGGTTGAGCTGTTGTTCAGCATCTTAGCTGTAGAGGGCAGTGTCACCGGCCCTCATATGTGGGATATGAACCGGGGCCCTCTGGCGTCCCAAGCCAGCTCTTAACCAACACGCCACTTGGCCGGTCCCATATTATCGTTTTTAAAATACTTTATCTTCATTTACTTATGTTTCCTAAATTTTTAAATTTTGTTCATCTGCCCTTTACTTTTGAAACCATTTATGATTTATAAAGCCACAATACAAATGTCGCTAGGATGTCCATCATGTTAGGTTACCACTACCAAATTTAAGAATAATTTTGACTCAATACTTACAATTTAATTGCTATGTAAGGATGGATTTGCATACATTTGCTTTTTCAAATCATGAGATCACTGTTGCATCATTTAACAATACTCAAGCAAGTGTAATTAGAATATATAAAATTGTGTTGTAAAATTTGCGTTCATAAAATTTCATTATGACCTAAAAGGCTAGTAGGTGACCTCCATTATTTTCCTTAAGGGCCATTTACTGGAAAATTTGGCTTTCTTTGATCTTCTGTGTTTACCCTAAAGCATTTTTAACCTTTGGAAAAAACTGGGAAACAGTTTCATAACTCTTCTTTAATGAGCTGCAAAGAATTCGCTGCTTCATTAGATAAAGAGAGCTTGTTTATTATTCTTCACAAGGTATGAGGATTTTTCTAAATTACCTGATGGCTAGAAAGCTTATTTCTTGCATTTTAAACTTGCCCTGGATACAGGGTGCAAAGTACTCAAATTACATAAAGATTATCAGAGTTTCCTATGTTTTTCTGACAGAATATATTAGTTTCCTGTGGCTGCTGTAACAAATTACCACAAACTTAGTGGCTTAAAACAACAGAGAAACAACAGAAATTTATTCTCTTACAGTTTTGGAGCCCAAAGTCCAAAATCAGTTTCAGTGAACTAAAGTCAAGGTGTCAACAGAGCTGGTTGCTTCTGCCATCCCTAGAGGGAAATTTGTTACCTGCCTCTTCCAGGCTCTAGACCAGCGGTTCTCAACCTTCCTAATGCTGCGACCCCTTAATACAGTTCCTCATGTTGTGGTGACCCCCAACCATAAAATTATTTTCATTGCTACTCTATAACTGTAATTTTGCTACTGTTATGAATCATAATGTAAATATCTTTTTGTTTTCCGATGGTCTTAGGTGACCCCTGTGAAAGGGTCATTCGACCCTCAAAGGGGTCACGACCCACAGGTTGAGAACCGCTGCTAGACGTTTCTGGTATTCCTTCAGCCATGGCAGCTTTATTCCAAACTCTGCTTCATTCATCTCTTTACCTTCTCTTTCTGATCTACCGCCTCCTTCTTACATGGACTTCTGTAATTATTCAGGGCTCACCAAGATAATCCATTTCAAGATCCTTAATCACATTTGCAAATTTCCTTTTGCCACTTAAGGTAACATTCTTGGCTTCTGGGGATTAAGAAGGCATTTTGGAGTAAGAGTAATTCTATTCAGCTTTCTGGGTTCAGACAATATTACACATAGTGGAATTAATGGAAGGAAAGATCCTTTTAGTAATTAAATGAAAACAGAGTAATGCATATGCTTCTCCAAAGCCTTCAGAGGACAATGCCACCCAAACGACAATGGCCCTTACTTTCTATAAAAGCGTACCATTGTTATAAACTTTATATTTGCTCTGATACTGAGGCTGTCTTCTCAGCCTCTTGAGAAGGTGGAGACTAAAATAGGAGACAACTCTGTAGAGTTATCATGTACAGAAAATTGTGGGTGAGTGGGACGTGATGACTACCTATGAGTGTGATGAGTGGGTAAGAAGGTAAATCATAAAGGCAAATGAAAGGAGATGAGCTAGCTCTGCCTTTACCAGTCTCGATGTTTGATTGTTTAGAGTGTTACTGTACCAAAATACATTTAAATGTGTTGTAAAATCTCATGCTATGACGATTGGTTAACCTTTGTGATGTTCTACGTTGTTTATTTTGTTGGACTTACACTAGTGTGAATGATATTAATTTAAAACATGCTACCATTTAATGCTAAGTTAGAAGAGGGGTAGGTGGGATTTACAGTTGACTGATTTATTCATTCTGGTTTGTTTTTTCCTTCAAGTTCACTACAAGGAAGCCTAAACTAAGACTAACAGTAACTGTTGTATAATAGAGATGCAGAAATAAAGGTCTATCAACCTCTAGACTCTTCCATGTATTAGGAGGATCCAGTAACTTTGTGGAAAGTTGGCCATCAACTGATGTATGTGTTTTATTTTCTCTCTGCCTGCCTCAGAGCAGAACATTTCTGCAAAAAACCCCAGGATACTCCATAGCCAATTTGCTGAAAATATGGTTTCCTGATCCTGACCATTTTGAAAGACACTTCACAAGACAGCAAAATTTGTTTAATAAAGAGTTGCTTACAGGATAAATTTGTCACCTTACAGAATAAATACTGAGAGAAACACTGAGAAAGCTCAGATTAAAAATAAATGTTTGGAGAATATCTGTAGGTTTAAATTGGTGTGCATTTTAAAAATTCAGCTGACAAGCAGAGAAGAGGGAAGAAAATCTAATTGTCTTTTCTGAGGACAGTGTCTTTTACAAACTATCCCTATAGCTTATCCTGTCCTCTGTCTGAACTCATTGCTATTAATAAATGCATTGCTGTTTCAATTCAATGGAGGCTGTAAGCATGAATTATAGTTTCTATTTTCAAGAGCAAAATGTCAGTTCTTTAGTTTAAATTAAAATCTTAAAAAATTTCCTTCAAGCCTTCACCATAAGGAGCAAAAGTGTTATCTAATCTGCACAGTGCCTATAAGAACTTTACAGGTTATTCAGATAAAAATTTTAAACATAGTCACTCCCTTTTGTGGGTGCAGACCAAAAATAACTACATTTTTCAACACAGGATGAAATGAAGTCCATGTGCAAAAAAAAAAGCAAAACTCCTCTTGAATAAGTAAAACTTATTTTGGAAGAAGTGTAGAATAATGTTATACATCTGATAGCAACTGTGTTTTACCATAGAGACAACAAAATTATATCATGTATAATCTTAGTCAATGAGGAAGGTACAATCTTGAGAAATTGGCCTTCTTTGATATCATACATGTATTGCAAAAACTCTAAGAAGGGGATCTCATAGGTATCTTGGTTCCATAGCAACAACTGACCCATGGGAACAAGTTCATTTTTGGCCCTGTGTAGGTCACTAGGTCTCACTGGGATGGTTGTGAGTCTTACAGATAGAATTCTCCCAGCAACGTCAGATGAGAAGTTGTCACCAGTACATGGCCTCGTACAATTAAGATTATAACGCATATTTTGGGGAAGCAATTTTTTCTCTCAATGGTTTAAGGTCTTTTTCTTTTGAGCAACAATATTTAAACAGCCAAGTATTTGGCTAATTTCAGAAGATAGGATGGAGTCATGCAGTATTTTGCAATAGTCAAAAGAGGGGAAATGTACAGGTTCCTTATTTTATTTGAATCCTCATTAAGCTTTTAATAACCATGCTGAAGGAGCCCATAGACACACCGACTCTTGTTAACCACTGATTGCCAGATGAGAGTTTGGCTATTACTAACACTAAAATCACTATTCACCAAAGCTATGGTCTACAGATGATGACTGATGGTTGTTGGCCAAAGTGGCGATTATAAATACTTTGAAGAATCAAAATAAATTTATTTTTACATGAGTGTGGAGACATCAGCAGCTGTAGCTAAACAGCACATTAATGAGATGTTGCTGTGTTATTGTCCCAGGAAGTGAGAAGGAAGAGAGTCTGGAGAGGCTGCAGACAATCATCAGGGAAGATATAAAAGTCCTCTGGCCACAGCCTCACCATCCCTTCACAGCCATTGCTAAGCATGCACGCAGGCTCTATGTCTCTTCTGGGCTATCCTGTGGATTGCGTTGGCACATCCTACAGAATGAACAGTTATATCCCAATGACTCCTTCTGTTGCTTTTTGCTCCAGTGATGTAAGCCCAACCTTCGGATTTTGCTTACCCAGTAAGTACCAAGGAAATCTCTGGCTCCTGGATAACTGCCAAGAAACCTATGGTGACATGCCCAGCTGCACATCTCCCAGCTGTGAGACCAAGACCGGCACCACAAGTTGGAACCCATCCAGCTGCTCTGTGCCCTGCAACTCTCCAACAGTGAGCAAAGTATACACTGCCTATGAAGCTACCGACATCAGCCCCAGCCCCAGCTGCAGCCCTCAGACCAAGGGGTATGTATCCCATTGCTGCACACCTACAGCCTGCCAGATCCTCAGCAACGGCCCCCAATGCCTTGGGAAACTTGACTGCTCATCCAAGAGCTTCCAACCTCTACACCACTGCAGCCTGGGTAGTTCGGAGTATAGAAAATACCAAAAGCTTGGCTTCATACCCAGTGGCTACTCACCATCCTGTTATGTTGCCAGCAGCTGCCCATCCCACAACTGTTTAATAAGAAATAGCCAATATCCGAGTTATAGGCCCATAAGCTGCCAACCACTGAGCTGTTTTTCTAGAAACTTCCAGTCTTTGAGCTATATGCCAAGTTTTCCTCCTCTGAGGTATTTATGCAGTGGTTGCAGACCTCTGAATTGCTACTGATCAACTTATTGTGTTTATAGCTGCTGGAAATTGTCCAATGGAGCAGATTCTACTAAGTGGTAACCTCCTCTAATATTCTTCTTCATGTGTCTTAAGAATCTTGTTTCTTAACCTCAAATATAACTCCAGGACTTATTAACTCCAATCATTATCGCCTCCTTTTTTTCTGTAGCTCTGTTAATGGTCTTTGTTTGGAAGGTTGATTCTAAGAGTTGTGTTATTGTTTCTAAGATTGAGTGTGATGGACACACTGAACACATTCCACATGACGTATAACCATCACTAGCTTTCTAATTTGGGTGGTCACTGTCACTTGTCTACCAATGCAATTATCATCTGCCTTTCTTGATGAAGTGTGCCTCTTTGGACTGATGGATGATTCTAGCACATTTTTCGGATCGTTTGCTTTCTGTCAAGTTTTGTCAACTACTGAGCTAGCATCTTGCTAATAAGCTAAGAGATAACATTCTCTTAAACATACTGAATTGAGGCATTTCATCCTTTCCCTACCGACTGATTAGGGGATGTGCAAGCAGCAATGTCCAACTAGAGTTCAAAATCAGAAGACCTTCAGTAAATCTTCTCTTCTAAAGAAGCCGTAAAACAGAAATGACTCACCTTCAGCTTTTGTTTTCAATGCCTAGGACAGAGCCTCAGAAGTAGCAGAAGCACCAAAATTATTTGTTGAGGGAATGACAAAATACCCTTTTTTCATGAAGAATCATGATTCTTCATGATTAGTGATAAGCTATGTTCAGGATTCTGCTATAATCAACCCCTGCTGAATTACTGCTTTCTGATTATGGGAAAGGTCCTGGTTCATAGTTAATAAACTCATTTCTATTGGGAAATAATGATTTTCATTATGTTTTATTTCCTCTTCACTAAAGTTTTATCAGTATTCTGGCCAATCTGTATAGCATTATTGAAGGACTAGTTTCCTGCCATTTAGTTTATATTCTAAATTTAAAATACAAAGAAGGTAGAATATACATTCCCAAAGCTTTGATTTGTTTCTTTTTTCTATTTTTAACACATTAAGTGGTATCTATCTTAGAGGGATTGTGATTGATATTTACAGAGAAAAATTTGGGGAAATTATTTGTAAAATAAATTTAATAAAAATTTTATAAAGTATTAAATGTATGTATATTTCCCTGCACAACATGTGTGTTTATTGGACTTGTAGATAAAGCTTGGGATTTGAAATAGATGTAATATTGAACCCTCTGAGAAGTGATTTAACCTCTATAAAGTTCTCCAAAAAATGAAAATAAAATCATCCCTCTCAATGGTAAAAGTAACACCTACCCTAAGAAGTTTGGGAAATAAAAAGCAACCCTGCTTAAAGTCAAATACAGAGTGTAACTAGAGATTGACAGGATAGGTAAGATCATTAATATCAATACTCAGTGACTAAAATTAAAATACTCATGAAGCATACAAGCGAGCCTACCATTTTATTTACTTACTCAGAAGGTCCACTATTTATAGGAAAGCTTATAGAAGGAATATTAATGTATTGCTCTTGTTTGAACATGTCTGACGACAATCAAATCACTCCATTGTGAGTTCATTCAATTTTCAGAGACTTTCATTTGTTAAAATTTTTTTCTTTATATTGAGAAAAATCGAATAGTCCTTAGCAATCATCCATTGACCATATAGGGCCAGTTTAATTCCTTTAACATAGAACAGGAGTTCAAGTATTTGAAAATGATTACTGTGTGTTCTAGCTGAGTATTCAACTGTCCAAACTAAACATACTTTCTTTCTCTTTATAAACTTTAATAGAAAACCTGTTCTTCGAGGCATTGAATGGGATTCTTTGGGCATATCAAAATGTGTAGTTCATATTCTGAATAACTATACACAGGAGTACAATCCAGATACAAACATAATATACTGTCTCAATTATTTTAAATATAATATAAAAGGAATCAGAGGAAGAACTTTAACTGGGGAAAAGAAAGAATACTTGGTGGAAGAAATGGCATTGAAGTGATGCCTGAATGATGAGGTCACTGATTTCAGAGAGAGCAATGGTGGAAAAAGGAGTTGGGGATAATAGATAAATTTGAAAAAAGATATAGTTTAATTTGACCCAAGGAAAGCAAACATAAGACTACTGGTTTAAAAATGGGAGAAAATATAAAACATTTGATTAAAAATCTTGGAAAGGGAAGACTTCCTTAAATAAGAACAGACAGAGAAGCAGTCTTTATATTTATAAATTAAAAGATTTATAAGTATGTCAAAAGCTCCTGATACTAGAAGGTATCTTAAAGACTTTGAAAATAAAGCAAGAGCGTGTGTGGGGTGAGGAGGCATATGATAATTTTCTGTATTTTCTGCTTAATTTTTCTGTAAACCTAAAGCCTAAAAAATAGTCTGTTAGAAAATCAAACAGGCAAACAATAAAATGACAAAGGTAGGACTGAGAGAAAATACACTGTAAAATTACTGTCCAGAATATTTTTCAATGCCTACCAATTAAAACAAAAAAGACCAAATGAGTCAATAGAAAATAAACAAAGAATACGAAAAACTATCAATAAAACAAATACAAGGGGTCAATAGACAGATTGAAAAATGTCCAACCAAGTAGTAATTAATAAGTAGAAGATATTATTTTTCATCATCAGTTTGGCAAACATTTGAGTCACTTATGTCAACTTAAAAATATATTGGTAAACATTGAAGGTGGTAGTGAAAATTGACAAAGCCTCTATATATGTGAATATTTAAAAGGCATACATTGTATGATCAAGTAATTTCACTTCTTAAAGTCTCTCTCCCCTACAAAAACATTCTTTCAAATTTTATAGTACTTATTTCAGCACTGCCTGATTTTAAACATTTGTAAACAATGGCAATGGAAAAGTCCATCAATGGGGGACTATGAAATAAAGTGCAGTCATACTAATAAATATGCCACAAGAATTAAAACCAGTGGCCTAGATCCATATGAATTGTATGATGAAGGGCATATTACAAAAATAAAAAAATATATATTATCAAAATATGATACATAAAATGCGACATATTTTATGTATAACCACAAACATATCAATAATCATATGTCTGTTATATATAGTATTTCACTTATATGTTATATATATATTTGTATATATATATATATATATATATATATATATATATAGAGAGANTATATATATATATATATATAGAGAGAGAGAGAGAGAGAGAGAGAGAGAGAGAGAGAGAGTAATATTGAGAGGGAGAAAGAAGGAATAAAAACTCTACAAAAATACAACCTAAGTTGTGTTAAGTTTGGAAGAGTTTTAGAAATAGTAGTTGGTGATTCTCAAAGTGATTTTTTAGACTGAACAGTTCTACTTTGAATCTATAAGTAATTAAAAAAAAATAAAAACAAAGCAAAATACCGGTATTGAGACAATCCTTGGCCCCTCGACAATCTCTTCTATGCTACCCTTAATAAAAATGTTGAATGGCAAAGTGGATAGGCATGAGTCCTTGATAGCACATTGCCTTCTAGAAAACTACAGAATGTCAAGATTCATAGATGCCTGTCCTATTCAGTTCCGATAGGCACAAATACGCTTAATAAATGGCACACCATGTCCATAGCACCAATGGCAGCTCACTTGTAGAACCCAGCTGAAGTCTTTTTAATTTTCACTTAAAAATACCCAAACAAATCACTTCTTTTCCCATACAATTCACTGCACACCACATCAGCACTTTCTGCCTCTCAAATAAAAGACCATTGGTTTTTCTTTTTCAAAAAAAATTATAGATTTAAAATGTTACTTTCTACAGCTGTAAACATTTTACAAACCCAAATATAAACATCCAAGTCTTTTTTACACATCGTAGAGAAAGCAATGCAGTGAATTTGCCTGTATATCTACTATTCTAAATGCTATAAATCAGACAAAACTCTAACCTGGAATTGATTTAATGCACAGTCTAGTTCATGGATGACTAAAATCTCTGTTTTGATTCATATGCTTAAACGTTTACGTTTAGATGATAATTTATAATTAAATTTTAAATAGTTGATAAAGTTACTACATTTGGCATGCGACCAAAGGCCTGAATATAACGGCATAATTTTCATGTTTTTTTTCTGTCTATCTGGAGACTGTATTATTAGTCAATATCTTTTTTAACCCTTCTTTCATGCACCATGTTTTCTGAATAAGAAATAAATCTATATAATTTCTAAGCCTAAAGTAAACATTAATAGATTTTTAAACTTTTGTTCCATTGAGTTTTTAATTGTGTCGTTTTCTTTGTGTTAGGTATGAAATGCCTGTCAGAGTCCTCATATACAGTTAGTGTGCTATGCACGACTGGCTTAAGAAAAATGGAGCTTATCTACCCAGAGGCCCTTGATGAATAGCCGTCTCACCTGACAGTTCATTTAACCATATTGTCACTTTCAATATCATGAGATAATATTTCAAAACCACATAACTCTATATTTATCATAACCGCCAACCCTGTACTGTCTATGCTGCAATTTCCATGTACACCAGGACCCGTTGAAATCTTAGTTCCTAAATTTACTTCAGAAGTGAAGTGAATCCTGATCAGATGTGCATACATGTTGTCTCAGGGCTAATAAAATTATTTCAACTATTCGCTGTGCTCACTGTGCTTGCTTTATTGTGTCTGTTCTTTTCATGTGATTGGCAGGCAAGACTCAATAAATCACCAAGCTGCGTATCTAGTCAGGCCACTGACAGATCAGAAGAGAATGGAAGCTGAGATTTCGCCTCTGTTTTCTGTACTTTACAGCCTGGCATCCTGAACATTCTAGAGGATGCTATTGTTGACACTCTCATTCCATTCCAGGGTCTCATGTATTTAAAGAGAGTATTATTTAAAAATATGAGGTATTTCTCTTTATTTAAAAAAATATACATGACCTCTGAATTTATAATATATTTAGAGTCTGATATCTAAAAGAATGATGTTCAAGATTTTTTTTCTAAAGAACCAAGATTATA